GGGGAGGGGGGACGCCCCCAAGGTGCCCCCCCCGCTGTCCCCGCGGGCTCGAGGGTTTTCGTTGGTTCCCCAGTGCTCCCAGTATGAAGGGGTTACTGGTTTGGGGGGAGGGGGGATGCCCTGAACCCCCCCCCCCAGTTCATCCCAGGACCACCCTGAACCCCCCAGTTCATCCCAGGATGACCCTGAGCCCTCCCAGTTCATCCCAGTCCCTTCCAATTCATCCCAGTTCCTCCCAGGACTGCTCTGAACCCCTCCCAGTTCATCTCAGTCCCCCCTCCAGTTCCTCCCAGTTCATCCCAGGACTGCCCTGAGCCCTTCCAGTTCATCCCAGTTCCTTCCCAGTTCATTCCAGGTCCCCCCCTAGTTCATCCCAGTTCCCCCACACCACTCTGAACCTCCCCAGTTCATCCCAGTCCCTCCCAGTTCATCCCAGTTCCCCCTCTCCTCTTGGTCCCATCCCGCCGGGGTGGGGGGGGTTTATTGTTCCCCCCCTTCGCCTCGCAATGGTTCCGCCCGCGCGCGGTGCACGCTGGGATTTGTAGTCCCGGCCCACGAGGACTCCGCGCGTGCGCGCTGTAGCCCCGCCTCTTCCTCCCTTCAGCGCCGCTCCTCCCCTTCCCCCCTAGGCCCCGCCCCCTTGCGCACGTGACGCGGCCGCGCGGGGCGGACGGTGGCCGGCGGGGGTCACGGGGGGCAGCGGCGAAACCCCCCCGGCCGCGCTCCGACCCCCCCCGAGCACCGGGACCCCCCCCAAAGATGGGGCTGGGGGCACCGAGAGAGGGGTGGGAGTGCCAGAAATGGGGCTGGGGGCACCAGAAATGGGGCTGGGGGCACCAGGGGACACTGGGGGCCACAGTGAATAGGGATAGGAACTCCAGAAATGGGGCTGGGGGCACCGGGAGAGCACTGGGAATGGGGTAGGAGTACCAGAACTGGGGCTAGGGGCACTGGGGGGCACTGGGAGAGGGGCTGGGGGCACCAGGGATGGGGCTCAGGGGTCTGGGGGTGTCAGTGACCCCAGGGGGGTCTCACAGCCCCCTCCCCACACCCCTTTCCCCCCCAGACGAGCCCACGCGCTCCCTGAGCGGGCTGATCCTCAAGAACAACGTCAAGGCTCACTTCCAGAGCTTCCCCCCGCCCGTGGCCGAGTTCATCAAGCAGGAGTGCCTGAACCACCTGGGCGACGCCTCCTCGCTCATCCGGGCCACCATCGGTGAGGGGACACACCTGGGGGGCACCTGGGCACTGGGGGGCACCCATGGGACACACCTGGGCACTGGGGGGCACCCGTGGGACACACCTGGGCATCTGTGTGACCCCAAACCCTGACCCAAAACTGCCCTGGGCACCTGTGTGACCCAAAATCCTGACCCCAAACTGCCTGGGTAACACCTGGGGGACACCTGGGCACCTGTCTGAACCCCTCCTGGGGGACCCAAAATCTTGACCCAAAACTGCCTGAGTAACACCTGGGCACACCTGGGCACTGGGGGACACACCTGGGTACTGGGGGGGCACCTGGGGAACACACCTGGGCATCTGTGTGACCCCAAAACTGCCCTGGGCACCTGTGTGACCCAAAATCCTGACCCCAAACTGCCTGGGTAACACCTGGGGGACACCTGGGCACCTGTCTGAACCCCTAAAACCCCCCAAAATCCCCCCCAAGCCCCGTTCCCAGCTCACCTGTGCCCCTGCCCGCAGGTATCCTGATCACCACCATCGCCTCCAAGGGCGAGCTGCAGATGTGGCCGGAGCTGCTGCCCCAGCTCTGCAACCTGCTCAACTCCGAGGACTACAACACCTGCGAGGTGCACCTGGGGGGGCACCTGGGCGCACCTGGGGGGGGCGTGGCCGCCGCTGACCCCCCCACCTGTGCTCCCAGGGGGCTTTTGGGGCGCTGCAGAAAATCTGCGAGGACTCCTCGGAGCTGCTGGACAGCGACGCCCTGAACCGGCCCCTCAACGTCATGATCCCCAAATTCCTGCAGTTCTTCAAGCACTGCAGCCCCAAAATCAGGTGGGGGACAGGTGGGCACGCACCTGTGCCCCTTTACCTGGTGGAGAGTGGGATTGTGGGGGTGTTTTTGTGGTGGTTCGAAAAAATCCTGATTTCTGAAAATGTTCCGATTCCTGAATTCCCAAATTCTGATCCCCAAATTCCTGCAGTGCTTCAAGCACAAAGTCAGGTGTGGGACAGGTGAGCACACACCTGTGCCCCTTTACCTGGGGATATGGGGGTGTTTTCCTGCTTTGGTGACCTTAAAGAATCCTGATTTTCAAAAATTAATTGGATTATGATCCCCAAATCCCTGCAGTTTCTCAAGCACTGCAGCCCCAAAATCAGGTGGGGGACAGGGGGTGCCCAGGTTTGGTTCAGGTGGGTTCTGGGGGTGCCCAGGTCCCAAATGTGGTTTAGGAGGTTCAGGTGTCTCTGGGGGTACCGAGGTGTGTTCAGGTGTGTTCAGGTGTCCTGGGGGTGCCCAGGTAGGGTTTAGAGGGTGCCCAGGTGTCCTGGGGGTGCCCAGGTGAGTTTAGGGTGCCCAGGTGTGTTCAGGTGTGTTCAGGCGTCTCTGGGGGTGCCCAGGCGGGGTTCAGGTGGGTTCTGGGGGTGCCCAGGTGAGTTTAGGGTGCCCAGGTGTGTTCAGATGTGTTCAGGTGTCCTGGGGGTGCCCAGGTGGGGTTTAGGGGGTGCCCAGGCGGGGTTCTGAGGGTGCCCAGGTGAGTTTAGGGTGCCCAGGTGTGTTCAGGTGTGTTCAGGTGTGCTGGGGTGCCCAGGTGACCCCTGCCCCTGCGCAGGTCCCACGCCATCGCCTGTGTGAACCAGTTCATCATGGACCGGGCGCAGGCGCTGATGGAGAACATCGACACCTTCATCGAGGTGGGGGCACCTGGGGGTCCCTGGGGGGGTCCCGGGGCTCTCACCTGTCCCTCCCCAGCACCTGGGGGTCCCTGGGGGTCCCTGGGGGGGGGGCCCCGGGGGTCTCACCTGTCCCTCCCCTGCACCTGGGGGTCTCTCTGGGGGTCCTGGGGGTCCCTGGGGGGGTCCCAGGGGGTCCCGGGGTCTCACCTGTTCCTCCCCAGCACCTGGCTGTCCCTGGGGGTCCCTGGGGGGGTCCCAGGGGGTCCCGGGGGTCTCACCTGTCCCTCCCCGGTCCCTGGCTGTTCCTGGGGGCCCCTGGGGGTCCCTGGGGGGGTCCCTGAGGGGGTTCCGGGGGTCTCACCTGTCCCTCCCTGGTCCCTGGCTGTCCCTGGGGGTCCCTGGGGGGGTCCCAGGGGGTCCCGGGGGTCTCACCTGTCCCCCCCCAGCACCTGTTCGCGCTGGCGGTGGACGAGGACCCCGAGGTGCGGAAGAACGTGTGCCGGGCGCTGGTGATGCTGCTGGAGGTGCGCATCGACCGCCTGATCCCGCACATGTACAGCATCATCCAGGTGAGCCCCAGGTGTGCACACCAGGTGTATAACACCGGCTAGGTGAGCCCCAGGTGTGCACACCAGGTGTATAACACCGGCTAGGTGAGCCCCCACATGTACAGCATCATCCAGGTGAGACACAGGTGTGCGCACCAGGTGTATGACACTGGCCAGGTGAGCCCCACATGTACAGCATCAGCCAGGTGAGCCCCAGGTGTGCACACCAGGTGTGCACTATCATCCAGGTGAGCCCTCAGGTGTGCAACACCAGTCAGGTGAGCCCACACATGTACAGCATCATCCAGCTCACCTGTGCCAGGTGAGGGTTACCTGTGCCAGATGAGTAGTGTGGGACAGAGTTTGGGGTTTACCTGTGCCAGGTGAGGGTTACTTGTGCCAGGTGGGGGTTACCTGTGTCAGGTGAGCAGTGTGGGGCAGGGTTCGAGGCTTACCTGTGCCAGGTGAGCTCACCTGTTCCAGGTGAGGGTTACCTGTGCCAGGTGAGCAGTGTGGGGCAGGGTTCGGGGGTTCCCTGTGCCAGGTGAGCAGTGTGGAGCAGGGTTTGAGGCTTACCTGTGCCAGGTGAGCTCACCTGTTCCAGGTGAGTGTTCCCTGTGCCAGGTGAGCAGTGTGGGACAGAGGTTGGGGGTTACCTGTGCCAGGTGAGCAGGGTTCAGGGGTCCCCTGTGCCAGGTGAGCTCACCTGTCCCCTCCCCCAGTACATGCTGCAGCGGACGCAGGACAGCGACGAGAACGTGGCGCTGGAGGCCTGCGAGTTCTGGCTGACGCTGGCCGAGCAGCCCATCTGCAAGGACGTGCTGACGGCGCACCTGGTGCAGTGAGTGACCCAAATACACCCCAAAATACACCCCAATACTCACCCCAAAACTTGTTCTGAGCCCACGGCGCACCTGGTGCAGTGAGTGACCCAAATACACCCCAAATACACCCAAAATACACCCCAAAATACACCCCAAAACTTGTCCTGAGCCCACGGCTCACCTGGTGCAGTGAGTGACCCCATGGCTGTCCCTGGGGGTCCCTGAGGGGGTCCCGGGGGTCTCACCTGTCCCCCCCAGCACCTGGCTGTCCCTGGGGGTCCCTGAGGGGGTCCCGGGGGTCTCACCTGTCCCCCCCAGCACCTGGCTGTCCCTGGGGGTCCCTGAGGGGGTCCCGGGGGTCTCACCTGTCCCCCCCAGCACCTGGCTGTCCCTGGGGGTCCCTGAGGGGGTCCCGGGGGTCTCACCTGTCCCCCCCAGCACCTGGCTGTCCCTGGGGGTCCCTGAGGGGGTCCCGGGGGTCTCACCTGTCCCCCCCAGCACCTGGCTGTCCCTGGGGGTCCCTGAGGGGGTCCCGGGGGTCTCACCTGTCCCCCCCAGCACCTGGCTGTCCCTGGGGGTCCCTGAGGGGGTCCCGGGGGTCTCACCTGTCCCCCCCAGCACCTGGCTGTCCCTGGGGGTCCCTGAGGGGGTCCCGGGGGTCTCACCTGTCCCCCCCAGCACCTGGCTGTCCCTGGGGGTCCCTGAGGGGGTCCCGGGGGTCTCACCTGTCCCCCCCAGCACCTGGCTGTCCCTGGGGGTCCCTGAGGGGGTCCCGGGGGTCTCACCTGTCCCCCCCAGCACCTGGCTGTCCCTGGGGGTCCCTGAGGGGGTCCCGGGGGTCTCACCTGTCCCCCCCAGCACCTGGCTGTCCCTGGGGGTCCCTGAGGGGGTCCCGGGGGTCTCACCTGTCCCCCCCAGCACCTGGCTGTCCCTGGGGGTCCCTGAGGGGGTCCCGGGGGTCTCACCTGTCCCCCCCAGCACCTGGCTGTCCCTGGGGGTCCCTGAGGGGGTCCCGGGGGTCTCACCTGTCCCCCCCCAGCACCTGTTCGCGCTGGCGGTGGACGAGGACCCCGAGGTGCGGAAGAACGTGTGCCGGGCGCTGGTGATGCTGCTGGAGGTGCGCATCGACCGCCTGATCCCGCACATGTACAGCATCATCCAGGTGAGACACAGGTGTGCGCACCAGGTGTATGACACTGGCCAGGTGAGCCCCACATGTACAGCATCAGCCAGGTGAGCCCCAGGTGTGCACACCAGGTGTGCACTATCATCCAGGAGAGCCCTCAGGTGTGCAACACCAGTCAGGTGAGCCCACACATGTACAGCATCATCCAGCTCACCTGTGCCAGGTGAGGGTTACCTGTGCCAGATGAGTAGTGTGGGACAGAGTTTGGGGTTTACCTGTGCCAGGTGAGGGTTACTTGTGCCAGGTGGGGGTTACCTGTGCCAGGTGAGCAGTGTGGGGCAGGGTTCGGGGGTTACCTGTGCCAGGTGAGGGTTACCTGTGCCAGGTGAGCAGGGTTCGAGGCTTACCTGTGCCAGGTGAGCTCACCTGTCCCCCCCCTCTCTCAGTACATGCTGCAGCGGACGCAGGACAGCGACGAGAACGTGGCGCTGGAGGCCTGCGAGTTCTGGCTGACGCTGGCCGAGCAGCCCATCTGCAAGGACGTGCTGACGGCGCACCTGGTGCAGTGAGTGACCCAAATACACCCCAAAATACACCAGGTGAGCAGTGTGGGGCAGGGTTCGGGGGTTCCCTGTGCCAGGTGAGCAGTGTGGAGCAGGGTTTGAGGCTTACCTGTGCCAGGTGAGCTCACCTGTTCCAGGTGAGTGTTCCCTGTGCCAGGTGAGCAGTGTGGGACAGAGGTTGGGGGTTACCTGTGCCAGGTGAGCAGGGTTCAGGGGTCCCCTGTGCCAGGTGAGCTCACCTGTCCCCTCCCCCAGTACATGCTGCAGCGGACGCAGGACAGCGACGAGAACGTGGCGCTGGAGGCCTGCGAGTTCTGGCTGACGCTGGCCGAGCAGCCCATCTGCAAGGACGTGCTGACGGCGCACCTGGTGCAGTGAGTGACCCAAATACACCCCAAAATACACCCCAAAACTCACCCCAAAACTTGTTCTGAGCCCACGGCGCACCTGGTGCAGTGAGTGACCCAAATACACCCCAAATACACCCAAAATACACCCCAAAATACACCCCAAAACTTGTCCTGAGCCCACGGCTCACCTGGTGCAGTGAGTGACCCCAAATACACCCCAAAATATACCCAAAAATACACCCAAAATATACCCCAAAACACACCCAAAATACACCCCAAAACCTGCCCTGAGCCCGCGGCTCACCTGGTGCAGTGAGTGACCAAAAACCCCAAAATACACCCAAAATACACCCCAAATACACCCCAAAACCTGCCCTGAGCCCACGGCTCACCTGGTGCAGTGAGTGACCCCAGATCCCCCAAATCCTCCCCAAAATCTCCCAAATCCACCCCAAATCCCGCCCCCCGCAGGCTGATCCCGATCCTGGTGCACGGCATGCGGTACTCGGAGATCGACATCATCCTGCTCAAGGTGGGCACTGGGCAAACTGGGCAAACTGGGAGGGCACTGGGAGCACTGGGGCTGTACTGGGACTGTACTGGTGTCACTGGTGGGGCTGTACTGGGGCCATAGTGGGAGCACTGGGGGGCTGTACTGGTGGCACTGGTGGCACTGGGGCTGTACTGGGAGCACTGGGGCTGTACTGGGGATACTGGGGGGGCACTGGGGCTGTACTGGTGGCACTGGGGCTGTACTGGTGGCACTGGTGGGGACGTACTGGGGCTGTACTGGTGGCACTGGGGCCGTACTGGTGGCACTGGTGGGGTTGTACTGGGGCTGTACTGGGGCTGTACTGGTGGCAGTGGTGGCACCGGGGCTGTACTGGGGGCACTGGTGATACTGGTGGCACTGTACTGGGAACACTGGGGGGGCTGTACACCCCAAAACTCACCCCAAAACTTGTTCTGAGCCCACGGCGCACCTGGTGCAGTGAGTGACCCAAATACACCCCAAAATACACCCCAAAACTCACCCCAAAACTTGTTCTGAGCCCACGGCGCACCTGGTGCAGTGAGTGACCCAAATACACCCCAAAATACACCCCAAAACTCACCCCAAAACTTGTTCTGAGCCCACGGCGCACCTGGTGCAGTGAGTGACCCAAATACACCCCAAAATACACCCCAAAACTCACCCCAAAACTTGTTCTGAGCCCACGGCGCACCTGGTGCAGTGAGTGACCCAAATACACCCCAAAATACACCCCAAAACTCACCCCAAAACTTGTTCTGAGCCCACGGCGCACCTGGTGCAGTGAGTGACCCAAATACACCCCAAAATACACCCCAAAACTCACCCCAAAACTTGTTCTGAGCCCACGGCGCACCTGGTGCAGTGAGTGACCCAAATACACCCCAAAATACACCCCAAAACTCACCCCAAAACTTGTTCTGAGCCCACGGCGCACCTGGTGCAGTGAGTGACCCAAATACACCCCAAAATACACCCCAAAACTCACCCCAAAACTTGTTCTGAGCCCACGGCGCACCTGGTGCAGTGAGTGACCCAAATACACCCCAAAATACACCCCAAAACTCACCCCAAAACTTGTTCTGAGCCCACGGCGCACCTGGTGCAGTGAGTGACCCAAATACACCCCAAATACACCCAAAATACACCCCAAAATACACCCCAAAACTTGTCCTGAGCCCACGGCTCACCTGGTGCAGTGAGTGACCCAAAACCCCAAAATACACCCAAAATACACCCCAAATACACCCCAAAACTTGTCCTGAGCCCACGGCCCACCTGGTACAGTGAGTGACCCAAATACACCCCAAATCCACCCCAAAATACACCCCAAAACCTGCCCTGAGCCCACGGCTCACCTGGTGCAGTGAGTGACCCCAGATCCCCCAAATCCTCCCCAAAATCTCCCAAATCCACCCCAAATCCCGCCCCCCGCAGGCTGATCCCGATCCTGGTGCACGGCATGCGGTACTCGGAGATCGACATCATCCTGCTCAAGGTGGGCACTGGGCAAACTGGGCAAACTGGGAGGGCACTGGGAGCACTGGGGCTGTACTGGGACTGTACTGGT